ATTCACTTCATATACGACAGATTTAGACGAGACTGATTTGACTTAGCCACTAACCTTAACTTGAAGCTGAATATATTTTTCCACTATCGTATGATTTTTTATTGACTGAATAACCCGAAAAATGAAGGACAGGGAAGGAAGTATCAGAGTATACGGCGCATTACAGCATAATATCCTCAAATTTTTCTCTCCCACACACAGCAAAGAATGATAATGCCACAGTTGGATCAGTAAACAAATGAACAATCCCACTTTGATGAACCGGATATGAAAATATGACAGGGATCACAGCGATGCAGAACAAGTTAATTGCAGTCAGAGAGTGCAGGTCTGGAGTGCTCATAAAAGTGACAAACTTGACAATATGTACCGGCTAACGACATTCACAAGCCTACATTTGGACGTATTCCTTACTACCAATGTTGGCGGTGACCGGGCGCAAAGAATTCGAGTTCTGTACTCATCACTTCATCCACAGCTGATCTCCTTCCCGATTGGTGAGGCAGTTTGACCAGTCAGCTCGTAATCATGAACTTCACCAGATTGCAGGTGTACAAAGGTGCGCATTTCTATCACGGAAACCGATTAGTAGAATCTACAGTCAAAAGGTAATATATCTACTTAGCAAAAGTGCAGGGGAGTGTCATGCACGGGTGGTGTCAGCGGCAAAATGTTGGAAGATGGCGAAAAAAATCCCCCGGAGAGATGGTACACCTGGGCAGTTTAATATGTTCGTCACGTATCCGTCTTTTACCGTCCCAAAAGTAATTTGCTTACCTAAAAGTTTAAGGGATGTTACGGGATGTTTTTTCAAAGCCTTCGATGTCAAACCACAGCTCAGGGAACTGCACTGAAATAGCCTTAGTCCTGGGATCTCTCAGCTACGTTAATCTTTGGCCGGAGGCTACACAGAACAGGCTGTGCGATTGACTGAACATAACATGAGATGCTGGCTCTTTTCTAGGAAACAGTTTTTCCTTTTTCCTGTTTTGTATAGCCGACCATTTGCTCAATACACTCGTTTTCTGGATGTGGTCATTTGTGCGCACATGAATGATTTTATTCACAAGATGTTCTGCTTCCTGAAAAAGAAGGAAACCAAAATATTCTATTAGAACCTATTTCATGTTGTCGAGTGAGACCATGTACTTGGTGAGCATCTCAGCTTGTTTGCGCGTCTTCCTGGTTCCCATTGTGAGGTCTCCTTGGGACTTTCCAATTTGGCACGATAGGTGTTCGCCGAAATTCAATCTTTGGGGTAATGATAGTTACATTTAATTCCTTTACGCTCATCAGTACTTTTGTTATCTTTTTGTCGTCTTGAAGTCACGTTGTATCGTGCGTTTGGGTCTGATGACGGACCTTAAAGTGCACCTAGTGTTTGTGTTAACAGTAGCATATGAGAAAGACGGCTGTACTTTTCCACTCTGTACATATATATATATATATACACCTAGGTGTTTCGAGGACTTTGTACACTACACACAAAGGTAAGCACTCATCTGGCCTAGCCGTAAACAAGTACCTAATCTTTTTACTCTTTGCCCCATAGGTCTGAACAGCACTCAACGATGGCAGCGAAACTGACGTAAGTGTTCATGACGTTTCAATCCGAAAAGCCGCACGTATCGTATTAATTGTGTACAGCCCTCGTTTTGCTGAATAGTTCTGTTTGCCTAAACCCTTTACACAGTCATGTCATTGCTTTAGATAACTATATAAGCGTAAATCTAACCGAAAGAATTTACTCAACCTTCGACACTTCAGCAAGTTGCGCACCAGGATTTAGGGGTCATAAACTAGCTCACTGTTTTACGTTATCGAATTGTCACAATCATGTATGGTATGCAGTTAGATGTGCCTTTATTTGGCGGTTTGAAATGTTGTATCCATCGGTTTCCAAGAAAAGGTAAACGGACTTTTTTCCTACTTGCAACGCGTTATTGTTAGCCGCATACTAGTTCGCTTATTTGAGAACCGTTTTCATAAAGAATCTGTGTTGATCAAACTTCTGAACCTGTTTCTTATGATCGGGAGCATACTTAAAGTCGTCATCTTTCAGAATGCATCAGTATACGTCGTTCGTTTAAAATATCACCTCACAGGAGAAGGTGCTCAACTTAGCACCCCACAGTAAAGCTGGGGTTTGCCCCTCCTGAGATCAGCCCTTACGCCTAGTAACGTTCCACTGGCGTTGGTTAGTTCCATCCTTCACTGATGGGCAGGAATGTTGATTGGCGGAATATGTCCCGATTCTGCATATTTAGACAGAATTTTCCGCTCATTATCCCACGAGCTATCTGGTTTTCCGGTCTTCAGACTGGAATACACCAGAAGCATTTAGTTTTTACAAATTCGTGTACCGAACAAGTCGCAAAACTACCCATTAGACCTGTTAGCAGGTGTTGGTGAACTGCACGCTGCTTTCTTGCTTGGGTTATACAACAATCAGAGGGCTCTGCTAAAAGTAATAACTCTTTGGCTTTGGGCCTAAAAGTAACGAATTTTCAGTCACTTACATTGTACTCTTGTAGCACTCTTCCCTGTGATATAGAAAGACACCAAATAAAACGAATAGATGAGCACTTTGAACTTTCTCACTACTTCTTGAGGGAACTGAGACTACACTTTGTCACCGTGAATGACGAATAATAAAAAAAGACAATACGTATGAAGTTATCAGTCATTTTCATAAAGGAAACTATTCACAAGTTGGATGAAACCTCTTCGACAGCCCACGACCAGTACCGCCCTTCTTAGGGCTCATCAGGTAGACGCAGTTTCCGAGTTTCGTCAATTTTATGTTCTACTTGAACTCCGTCAGTCATTTGTTTACTTCACTTCAAAAAAGTGCAAAAAACGTTCATCTCTCCCCTTACTCCATTTCTGATACTCGGAACTAAAACATTACAGAAATTTCGGGGCCTGTGCCATTGATTAGTTTATTCCGATTCTAAAAGTGGAACACCATTTTTGTTTAATTTTTGTGAGGTGGACCACCCCTTCTAAGTAGCTCGTTCCGTCGTGTGGCGCAAAAGCTGGCTAGGTGGTTATCTATGGCTTGTGTTCCCTATCTGAAAGGTTCTGCTTTGATAGTCTGAAATGAGCGGCACTGTTCATTAGAATCAGAGGTAATTAAATTCCTACGGCTTTTTAGGACTGCTTGAAACGTACATTGGTTTACGATTTACCTTTGGGTTAACAAGAGACTCAAATGAATGTCTCATTGCTGAAATTTGTCAGCTGAATGTGCGCATAGCTTGAATTACGTTGCACAGAGTGAGATATCGAGCTATGTTATTGAGGTAGAACATGGGGTTCATAGTTCAAAACGAAACACGTGTGTAGCACATATAGTTTTAAAACTGTCATAACTGATATACTCAGCTAGGATTATACAGAATATCTCGTTAGGACCAAATTAAATCGCAAACCATGTATTTCCCTTTCCCAAGTTGCGTACAACGTTTCGACCATTCTGAACAAAAAATTCCCAAAAACTAATAGACTGGTTCATCTTGTTGAATTTTTTGAACGTATGCAGTCAAAGAGTTGTCAGAAATCTTGTATGTATTACGTTAATACGATTCTTTACTACAAGTCACTCTTTTTGATGCCGATGTACATCACAGCATATAGCACCTTCCTGCATTGAGTCGTTTATACGTCACACGTAAAGACTGAATTTGTTCAGTTGCTCACTCCGACGACACCAACTTTTATGCAGGAACAAATATTCCTTATAAGACAGCGTTTCAGCTATAAATATGGCATGTCTGATACACAGGAAACTGAGTAACCAGAATGCCGCAACAAGCATTTTCAGGCCGGAAGGCTTCATTTCTTAAAACACCCATGTTCGGGAGCAGTTGATTTCCATGTGACCAGGAGTATTCTGACGACGCTTCCTGTCAACGTTCACGAAGATATTGTTGAATATTAGTAGTATGTTAGACGTGCCGAGCAACCGAATAGTAAAACGTCCTTGTTGCGGGCTTAAGCCATTTCGCACTGTCACGTACGCTGCATTTCTCATAAAACAAGAAAAATGCGCCAAATTGATAGACTAGTAGTGTCGTTTTTACGCAGAACGAAAACTACAGTGGACTTGGAGCAAACCGAAAGCCCCCTGAGCACACAATACAGGCCTACATCGGCTGATCCGTATTGCTTTTGGGAACTTCACTCTGAGGAACCGAATTCCCTCTGCTATAAGCTTCAGTTAGGATCTGGTTTCAATTCTGCATTTTACCTCACGAAAAGACCTGGTTATCCCAGTTGGATTTCGAGTCAATCAAAGTAATGCTAGAGTAGGACAACGTATCACAAGATCGCCTGGAAAGGCACTGCTATCCACTCTCCAGGATACTGGTCTGTTGTTACAGCCAAACTGACAAACACAACGACTGGTTGATAGCACTGAAGCTGATATTTTAAGCAGTGCTATTGTTACAGCTCTCGTACATATCAAAATATTCTGTCGTGCTACCGTATATCACCGGCATAAAATCCCTTTTAAAATATGCTTGGAATGACAAAAGGCATAGTCATCAGCCACAGAGCCTACTTTTTTCCAGATTGTATTATAGTTTGCGCCTTCTCTTTATCACTCTTTTCGAAATCCTTCCTGGAGGACTGCTTGATCGCGGTGTACTTCAGAGTAGTTTGGCATCCCAACCAAATCTAACTGAAATGCCCGCCAATCTCGCTTTGTGGCCCAAGGTATGATTTTGTCGTATGCAAAAGGAGCTTGCATAGTTTATGCACCATCTAGGCCATGGTGAATTTCTCTAGATGGGGTATAATATTGTACCATCAATATCTTTTCGATCAAGACACCCAACAAATACTTGTTTAAAGTCATAAACGAGATCACCATTTTCTAGAGGTGTACTCAAATCTGATAGCTTATAGTTAGCTTATTTTCTGTCTTTTGTCGCGAGCAAAATACCTCTTAAAACAATTTCGATTATTTTCTCCTGTAGAGACAAAGAAATTGCGGACATATTCAAGGTCATTGACAAGGATGGGAACGGAAAAATAACCAAACGGGAACTGTCAAAATTCTTCAAAAATAACAAGGCGGAATACAGCAGCAAGCAAATCAAAACCTATATCAAAAGCATCGACAAAGATGGTGATGGTAAAATAAATCTGACCGAGTTGACAACAGCATTACGTGGATGCCAGAAGAGCAAATGATTGGCAACCGCCTCGAACGTTTACATACATCTTGTGTTGTCTGTCTGGACGATTTTGTTGATTCCGTAGAAGACTGATATTTCGTAAAACGTGTCTTCACTTCTTGGTGGGAACGAGGGGGACAGTATTCCAGTGGTTCACATGAGAAACGATCTAACGTACGCTCTATGAAAACATTTAACTTCCGCAATACGTCCTTTATCTACGCCGATGATTTGACTACGGTATCCTGGATGAGCGCGTTAGTGCATATAGCTGTTTGCAACTGTGCTGTGATTGTTTGTTCGCTCAAAATAAAGTATTTTAATCAACGAACAGTGCCACATCAAAAACCCCTGGATTACCAGGAAATAGACCGTCGTATTTGCATCTAAGGGCCTCTTCGTTTCCAACGATGATATTTCGTGATCACGGCAAGTATTCAGTGCGCCTGGCATTCAGCAAGGGAGCGATTCGTTTTCGTTCTGAACATGTTCTGATAATGTCGTTTCGAAGAATCTCCAGAAAAGACCGGTTCACATTTTTCCAATGAGTTTTGCCACAAATTGGTTTGGCCACTAGGTGTGTTCGTCTTATCGTACATTGTCAAAGTGAAAACTATCAAACCTCTCACAGTGAAGACCAAAAGAGACACCTTGATCACACTCAACCCGGCTGATCTGTTAAACTGGCCTTTCACGCAGACTTCGCTAATCTCATAAAGCCCTGGGTGTAGCACATATCACCTGCATGTTATCAAATTACGAAAGGGCTTTCAAGCGACTTTGCTGCTTACTGAAACGTATCAACAGTCTAGGCAACTTAACTGTCTTCAGTGTTCACAGAGATGCTGGAAGCAAATGTCCAAACCCGAAAACTTGTCCAATCACAAAACTAGCAAATGAACCATTTTGAGTGTATAGTTCAGGTCCATTCAACAGGAGGAAACTTGTTTGATGTTTCAAATTAATTTTGAACGCGTTTTGCAGCCAAACTGAGTCTGCAACATACCTGTTTGCCATCAGCTTGGGCTACACGAGAACCATGCGGCAAGCTGTTCAATTTTAACAAATTTCGACCGACGTGTATTATGCGCCGTCGTATAATTTTGCTTGTTTTAGCATTGTCACACTCAAGACCACACGTAGGTTTCCGTACAAACGTTTCAAGACCATAGTATGTGAATTTCTCTCACCGTAATAGTTTGGGTATAGAAATTTTGGAAGTAAACCCAGGGTTACAACACTCTGCTTACTTATATCTTGCTTTGGAATTCGTTTGGAAAACAGAACACCAGAATTAATTTTCTGAAAAATACGAGATGTGTTAACCGGAGTCTGTTCTGCGATGCTGTTTGTGACTAATCACTATGGCTTATGAAAAAGGGAGCTGCAAATTCCTTTCTGTACCTGCCAAATGAGCGGATCGGTAAGGTCAGGCAAAAGTAACATTGCCGAGAAGCGGTGGCAGTTTGTCCATTGTATAATTAGGCATGAGGTGTACAGAGATGTCAGACTATCCAACGACTAGGAATCGTATGAATCTTACACCAAAAGCTGTATAAGTGTTGAGCGTTTATTGCTCCTTACAATAAATCAGAACGGCACTTAGTGTCACATGTGTTCAGAAACAAATGAACCAAAATCCACTCGCGAATCCTTGTGAGTTGAATTTCGGTCAACTCTTCTTAAACCTCAGCGAGCTGTCATTTTAGTACAACCAACGCTCAGTACTGAGGAATATGCTTAAGTCCGCCACTCAAAGCATGCTTGCCGGTTGTTTCGTCTGCTTAATTTTTCTTTTTTTGGGAGTCGCCCTCACCACTTTTTTGTCACTCGTTCCCTCTGTACACCGTTTTGTTTGTTCTAGATAGCGCCACATCAGGCCTGTTTGGCCTGCCGAATAGCTATGTCTGACCTTGTTTTTTGTCTTCTCATATGCGTAGATACACGTTTCCCCGACGATCTTTGGTCTACTTTTGAGTCTTTTTTTAAATCAAAAAGCCGCCTCCGATATCCCTTCTACTGGCTGGGATTCAGGCATCCAGTAGTATCTTCCCTCGGAACATGACTTTCAACGAATAAACACCTGGATAGAGTTAGCAAAGTAAATGTTGTCTGGGTACAGACATTGCCTTGCGAATGTAAAAAATAGTAGTGGAAAAGAAGGACAGTCGATTTTTTGCCTTTATTATAAGTTTGGAAGGCATTAGAACGAACGAAACGAGTAAACGCCTCTGTCCTAATCGATCCCCAAATCTGGTCATCAGTATTTTCGTCACTTCTAGAGGATTTTGATGTGGTAAACTATTCGTCGCAGTTATGACAAAGGTAATAGCTGTATGAAATAACTGCCACTGACTTCCACTAATACAGTTAAATACAGGATATTCGCCCGGTTTAATCCTACTGGTCTTTTTTTGGAGTCAGTTTTTGGAGACTTGTAGTCGTCTGTTTGTGTGTTCTGGTTCCATATGTATTGGTTTCGTTACTATCGCACAGTAGACCTCATTTGATATAGTGCTGTTTTGTGAACAAACGGCGCTCTCTGAATCTAAGCGGACACATCAGAATCGGTTGACTTCTAGTTTTCTCAACGCAAGACGCGTGGTTCCGATACTGCAATATTTCAAGCTTGATAGCACCTGGTAAGGGGGAATAAGGTTAATATTCTGGTAGTAAAACTTTCCATTGGCTCCACAATAGCGATCCTACAAAAATAATTTTGTTGGGGGCTTCTGATCATTATATATAGCTCAATTCCGCCTGGACTATTTCCACGTTTATGGTGATTTTTCGCTTTCTGTGATAGCACCTGGTAAGGGGGAATAAGGTTAATATTCTGGTAGTAAAACTTTCCATTGGCTCCACAATAGGGATCCTACAGAAATAATTTTGTTGGGGGCTTCTGATCATTATATATAGCTCAATTCCGCCTGGACTACTTCCAGCTTTATGGTGATTTTTTGCTTCCTGGGATGCTAAAGTCTTCCACTCCACCGACGTTTTTTTCATTTTTCAATTGCTTTCTAAATTAAGACCGCTATCGCCTTGCACCTGTGTTAGGTTGGGTCTATGAAGGCGACGCGGCGATATGACCCTTGGTCTGGCCGGAATTCATTCCCTCTCTTGATTAACAATTTTTCGTCCGACAAAGTTTTTAGATTTTGCCTTTATTCTTCTTTTCCTGAAAATCGTTAAACTACTTTCAGTCGTGATATAGACAACAAGGTAGGTTGTTAAAAAAATTAGCACACAGCCGACTATCGGTTTTGTCTATTGAGGAGCGTCCCTCAGAATTCGACCAATAGTTCCACACAAAACAACTTAGGTAAATAGTTTTTAATGAATATTTCGTCCCGCAGATGTAGTCACTGGGTACAGTTAAGCCTGTATATCTGCTTCATTCCAACTAGGAATCCTGACTAGTGCGCATCTCCGGGTAGTAATCAAAGGCTCCACCATTCGACAACGAGCGCCTGATCATCTGTGCGCTCATGATAGAGCGCCAATACCCCTTCAAGGCTCCACCATTCGACAACGAGCGCCTGGCGCTCATGACAGAGCGCCAATCCCCCTTGACTAACGGAATTCACTTTATTTGGTCACGTGACGACCAGTAATGTCTGCTCAGATGTATGAATTCTCCATATTTCTGATTTGAATAACTTATCAAAGGAATTTCAAGGCAGCTGTTGTGCTGCATATTGTGCGGAAAGACATCAACATGCTACAACATAAAATGCCTATTCCAGTTCCAACACTTTTAACACCCATCTTAGCTCGAACGGGGTCGTCTTATATTTATTTTTAGGGCACTGTATTTGACAGAGGGACCAATTTCCATTTACCTACATCCGACGCTAACCCGTTTTTCGTATGGAAACGTTCAGCATGCGTTTGATGAAGCCTTTATTCTTTCGATCCACGGTTTTCGTTCTGGCCCATCGCTCCATACAGCTCCTGCATTGCCTACAAAGCTCGGTCGTATCGTTTTTTTAGGGCTGAAAAAAGGTTTTTATCTTACCGATTCATTTCTTCAAAATGACTTGCAAATGCACTTGACAGTCTGGTGTACTTCCTCCTACTTCTGTCACCAACTAATTTATCTCAACCAGAGTCGTTTATTCTCCTTGAATGCCATTAGACGACTTTCGACCCTTGGGGTTTTATTTCTGCGAAAGCCTCTGTGTTCCCAACAGATTGCTACTTAGGCAGGATATATTGTGTAACATGTAGATGGTTGAGAAAGATGTGGAATGTTTGTTCACATTGTTCTCTTGTAACCAGTCAAGTTTGCAGGTGGAAAAATTTGGCCTTGAAATTATCCCTTAAAACCCGGACAGTTCGCTAGATCACAACATAAAACAAATGAAAGGAGCAACTGAAACAGATACCTTTTCTAAATCTCGAAAATATGCAGAAAGAGTAGCATGAACCTCAACATTTTGAAACGTCAAATAGTCGACACTGGTGGGAACCTATTTTTTCTGATCACCGCGTGATTCTGGGTCGCACTTATACTAACTTGTATCATGTGACCGCACTATTTTTTATCGCACCAGGACGCTGATTTACATCCCTCTGAGATACATCTTCGTGAGAGAAATCTTAGTTGAGAATACTTTGGAACACAACACGTAGTATGCCTATAGTGATGCCGAACACCGCAGTCTTATTTTAATCTAATTAACTACGGTGGCCTGATCTCGTCTGTTTCCAGCCAACCTCACGCAACTCTGTAAGCACTGAAATCACTGCAACCAGATTGTATGCCTTTCTTCAATAGAAGTCGTTTCAGAAACTCTTCATCCTTTTGTAGTTGATGAGTGGTTGGAATTTTTCTCGCTCTGTGGAATAGGGTCTTGACAGAGTTGCATTCGGGCGTCACCGGTGTAAGAATAAAGCAAAGAATGCACTATTGGTTGTTGATCAAATGGCTGATGATATGTCTGCCGAGCCTGGCAATTGACTTGCAAACATTTCGTCACCATACGAGGAGGCATCATCAGTGCGCACATCATCAACTACGCACTGATGATGTCTCCCCATATGGTGACGAAACGTTTGCAAGTCAATTGCCAAGCTCAGCGCACAGATCAACAGT